TACTTAATTCTAGAGATACAAATATAAATATACAAATTTCAAGATTATAAGATTACAACCAACTGTAAATAAGTGTTTTCCCACATATACTAACAGAATTGCAACTTTCCTTGAATTTGAGTGCTTGATAAACAATGTGTGATCCCCTTGACTTTGTTTATATCCCATTCCTGGCATCACTTTGGCAAATCTCTCCAACCAGGCCCTAGGAGACTGTTTAAGGCCATATAAAGCCTTTTTCAACTTGTATACTTTTTTTGCTTCTAGATGACCTCTAAGTCTTGATGGAACTGTCATATATATATTTCTTCTTCCAAATCACCATGAAAAAGGCATTCTTTACATCAAATTGTTGAAGCTGCCAATTGTAATTTGCAGCCAAGGATAACAAAATCCTAACTATATTCATCTTGGCAATTGGAGCAAAAGTTTTTTGATAACTCACTCCATAAGTTTAAGTGTAGCCTTTAGCCACCAGCCTGGTCTTGTACCTTTCAACAATACCATTTGCCTTGTATTTTACAGTGAAAACTTATTTACACCCAATTGGATGTTTTCCTGTAAGCAACTCTACTAGTTCCCATGTTTTATTTTTCTTTAAGGTCTTCATTTTTATTTTCATGGCTTGCCTCCATTTCTCATTGGATAATGCCTCAGATAATGTACTTGTAATAGAAATAATGTTTAGGCTCGCAAGAAATTTTTTATGGGATGGTGAGAATTTTACAAATGACACAAAATTAGAGATTGGGTATCATGGATGTTTAGTACATTCTCTAGTTCCTTTCCTAATGGTAATAGGTAGATCATAATCACTAATTTTAGGAGATTCATGCTCATTTTGAGAAATAGAATTAGAGATTGTAATTACCTCATTTTCAGAGTTAGGATCAAGTTCTTGGATTTGCATTGGTTTAGGAGCTGGAACTTTCTTTCTTGAGTACACTTATAATTCCTTCACAGAATCAAGAATGGTATTATCCTTAGTCACAACTTCTGTGTTTGGAATGGGTTCAGATTTAGTATCAGTGTTTGACTTGAACTTCGAAGAAATGGGTTTAGGCTAAAAAGAATTAATGGGTGAAATTGTTTAGGAGGAGGATGACAAGTCAAGTAAAAAGAAGTCTTTATCTTATCTTTTATAAATGATGTCTCCCCCTGAAGATAAGGTTGAGTAAAAAATGATTTACTTTCTTCAAAAGTGACATTTATAGACACATAGAATTTTTTGGTAGGAGGATGATAGCATTTATACCCTTTCTGAGTTGATAAGTACCCCACAAAAATATACTTAATTGCTCTTGGATCCAACTTTCCCCTATTATGACTGTGAACATGAACAAATGATGTACAACCAAATATCCTAGGTATGAGCTTGTTTGTGGTATTAAGGTTGAGATAGAATTGTGAGAGTAGTTTCGTAGGAGTTTTAAATCCCAAAACCTTTGAAGGTAACCTATTTATAATGTGTGTGGTAGCGAGAACAACTTCCTCCCAATAAGATTTGGGTACATTTGCTTAAAAAAGGAAGGCTTAGGTTGTGGCTAGTAAATGGCTGTTTTTTCTCTCTGCCACTTCATTTTGTTGTGGAGTATTAACACAAGATGACTCATGGATAATCCTCTCTTTTTGGAAATAGGTGGATAGACTTTGGTTGAAAGTCTTTTGCATTAATGGACTTAAATCTCTTGATTCTCACTTTAAATTGATTTTGGATCATGTTTTGGAAGCTTAAAAACACAATATTCACATTTGATTTGCATTTAAGTAAAAAAACCCAAGAGGCCTTGGTACAATCATCTATGAATGAAACAAACCATTTTGCATTAGAAATATTAGGAATTATAGAGGTACCCAAAATGGCATTATGAATCAAGTAAAAGGGAGTAGAATTTCTTTTGTAACTAATTGGAAAAGACACACATTTGTTCTTTGCAAGTTCACAAACATCACAATGAAAATCTTCAACGTTTAATCCTTTGAACAAAGAAAGAAACATGTTTCTCAAAGTTCCAAAAGAAGGATGTCCAAGATGAAAATGATAAAGCCAGATTTTATCTTTATTGGAAGATTTTTCAAAAAGAAATGACAAAGATAAACTATTTTTGATATTACTTGTGTTGTTGGATGTCTCAAGATAGTATAGTCCATCCTTCTCCTTAGCAAGTCCAATTTTCTTTCCTGAACTCTGGTCCTGAAATTCACAATAAGAAGGATAAAAAATTGCATTGCAGTTCATATCTCTAGTAAGTTTTTGTATAGATATCAGATTAGTAGACAATCTAGGAACATGAAGAACATTTTTAAGAACAAATGAGGGATTAATTTGAACATCTCCTAATCTTGTCACTATAGTAAATGAACCATTTGTAACAACAATTTTCTTATTACCAGGATATAGGGTATATGTATTAAACTTTTGTGAACGATGTGTTATGTGGTCTGTGGCTCTTGAGTCAATGACCCAAGAACTCTTAATAGACTTATTTGAGACATTTAATCCATGAGAATTAGAGACTTTGCTTGCACTAGAGACCTTACTTGAGTGTGCCAAGGAGCATACACCAGTAGTCTTTTTCAAGAGTTCCCAATAGGCTTTTCAGTTTCTCAATCTCTTTTTTGTCCAACTCTCTTTGTTCTTGAGACTTCTCCTGGTTTAACTTCATTGCAGTCATGTGAGCTTGTCCTTGATTTCTTGGATGTCCTCCTTTATAACCCCATTCTTTGCTTGAAGTTGAAGGTTTTCCATTTAGTTTTCAACAACGATCTCTGGTGTGCCTTGGCTTCTTGCAATAGGTGCACCAAAGATTGTCACGATTTGAAGTTTTAGCCAAATCACCTTTCCCATTCTCACTGACTGGTAATTGTTCTAAGCTTTGGTTCTTCCCACCATTAGAGACCGTAGCAGATCCTTCTACATGCAGATTGTCAAGAATCACTCTTTTTGTGCTATCTTTTGCTCTAACCATGGATATCACTTCATTTAAAGAAGGCATATCCTTTTTTCCCAAAATTTGAACTCTAATTTGATCAAACTCAACATTAAGTCCAGCACGAAAATCATAGACTCAATCTTTTTCAATAAATTTCTTCAAAGTTGTTGCATTTTCACTGCACTTCATTTCTATGCATCGATAGTGATCCATCTCTTGCCAAAGATTTATAAGAAGAATAGCATACTTTGTGATTGACTTATTCCCTTGTTTGAGAGTTGTAGTCTTGATCCTTATCTCATAGACTTGAGCAACATCCTTAACTTTGGAATAGGTTTGTTGAATTGATTCTCAAATGTCTTTGGCCGTGGACAAAAACATATAAGTGTCACTAATATCTGGTGTTATAGAATTCTACAGCCATGACATAACCATGGAATCCTTTCATCCCAAGTTTCAAATTTTGGATCTCCTCTCTTAGGACCAGTGCCAAGAAGATGGCTCAGTTTTCCTTTCCCTTTTAGAAAGGTTTGAACCAATTGAGACCACTTCAAGTAGTTTTTTCCATTCAATTTGTATGCAGCTTGGATATTTTGTAGTTCTCTTGTGGTTTGACTAGTTGTCACTTCCTCAAATCGAGTAGTAGCGGTAGATTTTGCTATTTTTGACATGGTTACCTTTCTCAGGACTGAAACAAGTCTAGGCAATGAAGGCCAAAAAGGAAAAATAAGAGTATGAAAGATTTAACAGAATTTGGCTATGAAGGCCTGAAATAGAATTCAGCAATGAAGGTTGAAAAATTTTCTTTCCAAGAAAAGCCTAAAGCTTTGATGCCATGTGAAAAATTTGAGAGTATATAAAAAAACTTGTTTGTTGAATCATACAAATACCCTAGGTTTAAATACATCTAACTAGAGGGTAAACTAGGAAAATAAATATTCCTAAATTTGATCCCTATAATCAAGGGATTGTCTATTATGATATTCTGTCTTTAATTCTAGAAATACAAATTCTCAATTTTAGGGATATAGATATATACAGATTACAATTAGCTACACAAATTACAACCAGTTGTAACTAAATGTTTTCCCACACCAATCTTTATAAAAATTACATTAAACAATAAAATATAACAAAATGAAAAGTCTAATTTTAAGTTCAAGCAACTCCTTTCCATGGTGCATTGGTTAGTGGAAATGCACATTAACTTTTGCTTACAGGTTGATTTTAATAGTATATTTTTGCCCTTTCTCATTTTATAATTTTGTAAAGTAATTTCCTAAAGTAAGTTCAAACCATGTATCCTTGTATTGTTTTGTTTATTTATTCTTTGATGTTATCATTGTTTCTTTTTACAGATTCCAATTATTTGTCTATGTTGTTGAGTTATTTGAGTGTCATTAGTTTTGTTTAACTTACTTTGGAGACACTAGGTAGACCAAGTTTTGAAGTTGTAATATCCTTAAGTAGTGTGAATCTTGCTATTATTTGTTTATGGTTTTAAGGTGACTGAAGTTCTGTTTTTTTTCTTTTTTGTGTGATGTTTCCAGTTCTTAATTAAGTTTCAATTTCTTTTGACAATTGGTACATCTAGTTTTTTATTTGTGATACTTCACAAGGTGAAAGTAATAAATCGGTGATCATTTCCTCTGGGGCTTCATTTGCTTTTTCATTTGTTGTTCTTGTGCGTGTTGCAGCTTTTTCATGTAAATATACCTTCTTTTTGTTAAATAGGTTAAATATTCTAATGGAAGCTATAAGAAAAAAGCGTATTCAAAAAGTGGTCAAAGCCTTTAAGATGGAGCAACTGTTGCTCTATACAGGAATTTGTCCTTGCTTCACTCAGAGAACAATAAAATCTCGACCTACTGTTATTAATGCCTATCTTGTTGTCTCTAGTGTTAGTATTCTTTAGCTTTATTATCTTTCCAGTAATTGATTTTTCTCTATATATTTCATTGTTCTGACATAGAATCTTGACCTACTGTTATTATTGCCTATCTTGTTGCCTATCTATATATTTCTCTATATATTTCCGGTAATCTTGACCTACTGTTATTAATCCAGGTAACTCAGTGTTAGACAAATTGGAAAATAACTCCTCCACAGTTAATGGCGCACAAATTATTGGTCAGGATAATGAAGCATTGGCACTTGTTTTGCTGCCAATCAAAAGATGGTCAGAAGGATCTCAAAATGCTTGCAGGTAACCTTGAGTTTACGGATCATCTTCATTTATAATTGAGTAGCTAACTTGATTGCCCGTTCTTTGTGTTAGTTATTAATCAAACACAGCTTTAGTTCTGTGTTTTTCTTTCTATTTTCTTGTTCCTTCTTTGGAGCAAAACATATACTCAAAGTCTGTTGGCAATTTCCTTTTAGGTTTTCTGCTGAGACAATGACCAACTTCCATTGCCAGACAATTTTTTTGGCTTAGATATGAAAGTGAAATTGCTAAGAATGGTTTAGGATAAATCTAAACAATTGTATCTCATTTTGTGAGTGTTTATGACAAATTTATTTTAGAGTCACATGTGGGCTGTTTTCAAGGCTTTTTATGTAGGACACAATTTTAGTAACTAGTTTCTTTCCTTTTGATGAGGACTGTGTGTTTTTTTTTTTTTTTTTGCAATGTCCCTACCGTGATTTGGATACTTGCCTTATGTATTCATGCTAAGCAGTTAAACTGAAACGGGGAAAAACAGGTGGTACTTGCTTAGTGGAACATTAACAATCAGCCTAACAAAGAAAGTGTAACTAATTCCAATCAAGAAACATAGTACTTTTTATTTCCAAACATTAAGGTTAAACATATTTCTCAATTTCTCCAATTGCTGATTGTTTATTGTAATCCTTACCAAATTGGGTTGATAACACTAGATTCCAGGGAGAAATTCGTACTTTAAAACGGCGAAGGATAAAAATGAAAATTTCATATCTGAGACTCCTCGTGTGGCATTGCATTCATACATTATCATTGAAATAAAATAATTGGAAAAATATAGTTATTGCTAAGTCATTACCAAAAAACGTCTCAAAGATTTCAAGACTAAGAAGCAGGATCAGAAAACTGGAATTACAAATCAAAATCATCATGGTGCACTTAGGGCAATGATTTTGTTTCATGATGGTTTAGGTAGATTTTCCTCAAAGAAAAACCTCATAATATTTAGCAAATGTTGTCATTTTGAAAGGTTGGCTATAATGTTGCTCTGCCATTCGGTCATTTTGTTTACGTCATTCCATGGTTTTTGAAGTTCCTGTAGTTGCTCAATGTAAATTTCCTTGAATTGAATAACAGATCCTGCATTGATGCTTTCTTGAAGTCAGTTTTCATTTGTGCATTGTACAGGGATCAAGATATTCTCCATTCAAATCAGTCATTGAGAATTCTTTCAAATTTAGTTGAAGCTGGTGCTCTCCATTCTGTTGGAATTCTGGACGAAATAATGTGTGAACTTCTTAATTTTACTGCCATTTTAGTTGGTTTGAAATCACCTGATGTTATTGAGTTAGTAGCGAAGGTATACACTAATTCTCATCTAGAAATTTTTATCCCCGTTTCCACTACCTTGTATCATGTGCCATGCTAATGTGGGCTTGGGTTTTTTATGCATAAAATTGGCCTTGTTCATGCTTACTGTGACTTTGGAATGACAACCAATATTTTGTAAACTAAACATTCTGCTTCATCAAGGCTCCTGTTATCACTGTGTTTTCTTTTACTTCTTCTAAATTTAGCCATACTTTTTGTTTTCTTTTCTGTCAAATGTGTTGAACCTTCCCTATGGGTTTTCTGAAAGGAAATGACTTTATCATGAAAAGTTATTGAAGAGATTTCTAAACATTGATCACAAAGTCAAATATTCTTTTCTATTATATCTGGCTGAAATTTCTCTGGTAACTTTTGCAGAGTTTTTCAGTTACTAAAATCCTGTTGGCAGAAAATAATGGAAGTGATGTTGCCAGTTCATATTTCAAGCACTGGGTTGTCTTAGTTGAAATTTTCTCACAGGTATTGTTTTCTATGGTTTTTGTTGGTCTCAGCCAACAATTTGAACACCTTAAGCTTTCTCATTTTGTGTGTATAGGTTGTCAGCCACATTGAAGATGCCTCTGGGAGAGTTTTCTCTGAGTCTTGTGAGTGCATCACAACTATATTAGTTAGAGTATCTCAGGGTCTTCGGGCATATTCTTCGACACAGGTTCCTAAGGGGATCTCGTCTCCCTCTGTTGTGAATGAATCATTGAAACAGATTTTGGACCATGCTGTAACATCCCGTTTGGTGGACCATTTATGTTTATGTTTAGCAACTTCAGGCTCAAGTCTCAGTTCCGGCTCCACAAATATGCTGCGTGCTGCTTGTGAAGCATGTAGGGCTATCTGGTCATTGATGGATGCTCATGAAATTTTATTTGTGAAGGAAAATCCCTGTTTGTTTCCATTGGATGCTTTGCAGAGTCATTCTTTGGTTCGACTTGACATCAGAGATCATGCTCGAGGTTGGCTTGGTGGAATAGAATCAGGAAAAATTGTTGATGCAATGACTAGGGCATTTGTCAGATCAAAAGCTGTGCAGTTTGCTATAGTCAATTGCCTTCATCAACGTGTAGAGCCAGCACTATCTGCTTCTATTCAGGTATTTCTTTAACTGAAAATTTTTCCACACTGAGGAGCTTTATAACTTAACTATTTTTGGTTGCCAAGTGTAGCATAATATGTTAATATATTTCTTTGTTAACTTGTTTCAGATTTTGTCAAGATGTTGTCTCCACAATGGAATTATTCCAACTGTTCTTTGTGGCCTTCCCAATTCCCTGCCCGTTACTACTGTTGTTAGTGGCGGAGCGGATGGTACCATAGTTTCGGAGCTATTCTCTATGTTATCATTATGTTCATCATTAAACAAAGATGCACAAACAGAGACAGCAAACTTGAAGTGTAAAATAAGCAATCCTCGTGCCTTGACTCTGCATTCATGCCTTCTCCTTGCTACAATTGCTCAATGTTTAAAGTCTACTGGAAGAAACTCTGCTTTATTTATGCTTACAACCTCCCCAAAGAAGCAGCTCTCTCGACTTTCAGTCCTTGCTGAGCATGTTTCTTCTAATGATACAACTATAACTTCATTACAACCTCATTCTGCATCAGCCATGCTCGCTCTTGCTTCCATTCTATCACTTGAAGGTGGACTGTCTGTTGAGTCTTCCGTATCTGAAATTGCAGTGCCCTTGATTCCTCCAACTAGCACACTTTGTGATCACGTTAAAATTTCATCAGACAGTGAAAATGAAGTTGGCCCTAAGAACCGTAAATCGGTTCTCTCATACTGGCATGGTCTTAGGGATGGATGTGTAGGATTGTTAGAATCCAAACTGAAATGGGGAGGACCATTGGCTGTACAACAGTTGATTGCAAGTGGTATTCCTTTGCTTCTTATTAATTTGTTGGCTAGCAACCATTCAAATGCTTCACGTCAGGGAGTTGATAGCCCAAATGATGGAGTTGGCTTATCCCCTATAGGGGTTGTATGGGCAGTTTCGTCAATATGTCACTGCCTTTCAGGTGGAGTTTTAACCTTTCGGCAAACATTGCTCAGCAGTGAACACATGAAGCTCATCTGTAGTTTGATATCTGATGTTCATCTCAAGCTTGTCAGGTCCTGGGTTGGGCCTGGTGGAGGGAAAGATGGAGTCACGGATATAATAAATACAGTAATTGATTTCTTAGCATTTCCTTTTGTTGCTGTACAAAATGCTCCTGGATTGCCAGCTGCTACCGCTTCTGTAAATAGTGGGTTCATTCTTAACATGGGTTCACCTGCTGGGAAAGTTGGAATGGAAGACAAGGACATGGTGAAAGCAATTGAGGAAGATATGGGGAAATATATTAAAATCCTCCTGGAGGTTAGATCCTGTCCATTCCTTTCTTTTCTAGGCCATAGGTTGGAGTAGGAAGGATGTTATGCTGCCTGCTTTCTTTTGGGGTTATCATGAGAAAATGTGCCATTCAATGAGTTTTTTCTAGCTGAATGGTGCTTGGCTAATGGAGGCAGTTTATAACTGGTGTCTGGCCATTCAGTGCACAAAACTGTGCACTGCTTTAAATAAGCTGCTGGGTAACTTTCTAGAGATAGTTTGTTATATCTTTAAGTGCTCAAAGGTCATGGAAAAGTGCATGTTTGATGGGCTTGTCTGCTTTCCCATTCTTAGTTTTGATGTGAATGATATGTAAGGTCTACAATGGCCTCAAGTTATTTAGACCTATAGTTTCCTCATTTAATATGTTCTGAAATTCTCAGGTGGGAATGCCTGGCATTGTTCTTCGCTCTTTGGAACAATTAGAGACAAAGGATCTGGGAAGGGCTGTTGCCTTTCTTGCCAAAATGATAGGACATCGACCACTTGCAGTTCAACTTGTTGGGAAGGGGATGTTGGATCCAAATAGAATGAGAAGGTTGCTTGATTCTTCAAGTCCAAGAGAAGCAACACTGGACACTTTGATGATTATTTCTGATCTAGCTCGCATGGATAAGGTTAGGTTATGTTTTCATCAAATAGTCCCTGTTCTACCATTAGATGTGAATATTAACTTAGGTCCTTTCCATGATCTTGAGACATGTTTTCCAAAATTAAATGATTGGCTCAAATAGCACCTTAACATGAAAACTTTTTCCTATTTGAGCAGTCTCATGAAGGTGATCTTATAATTTTCTATTTTAATTTTTTATAATGGAGCTTTTTCTCACCATTGCTTAGTTTTTACTCGTTCATTTCCTTTATAATCATCATTTTGGTGATGTAAGTTTAATTCCTGAAATAATTTACTTGACAACTTTCCTCCATTGTAGCTTATTTTTGTTTGATTCATAGAACTTTTCTAGGAGATAGAAATGACTGTTGTCTCCCATGAACTGGGTTCCATACTCTGAAGTCGCCTAGAAAGCAAGATAAAAAGTAAATTTATGGGCTTTTAGATGCTCTTTAAAACGAGATGAACCTTTACTAGAAGCCCATGGTCTGACTAATGAATTTTAGATAATGTGGTCATGCAGGGTTTTTATGAATTCATTAATGGGGCTTCAATTTTAGATACTCTCCGGGGCTTTCTCACTCATGAAGATCCCAATGTTCGTGCCAAAGCTTGCAATGCTCTAGGCAACATGTGTCGCCATAGTGCATACTTCTATGATTCACTAGTAAGTACCAAATAATACATTGCTTTGTGCCATGGTAAACTGTATGGCCCATTCTTCTATAATCTTTTGTCAACATTTTAGAAGTCATTACTTGGACTTTGGAAATTATTTTTGGAGGTAAACATTGTGATTATTTTTGGTCATTGAAGGCAACCACAATATGACAAATTAGGTTGTAGGCTATCAGTTGTTTGATTCTTACTTACCAATATAATACCGCAGGCAAGACATGACATCATTGGTCTCCTTATTGATCGATGTGCTGATCCAGACAGACGGACAAGGAAATTTGCATGTTTTGCAGTAAGATCTATTCTTAACTCTTATGAAATTAAGCAGCAGTATGTCTCTGGCTCTGTGGCTATGTCATACATGCATATAACTTATAGCTGCATATTAATTCTCTGCACAGATTGGGAATGCTGCCTACCATAATGATATGTTGTATGAAGAACTCAGGAGATCTATACCTCAACTAGCAAAGCTGCTGCTTTCAGCAGAGGAAGACAAGACTAAGTCAAATGCTGCGGGTGCACTGAGTAATCTTGTACGCAACTCCAACAAGCTCTGCGAAGAAATCATCTCCAAGGGGGCCATGCAGGTATGTTGACATAGTGCTTTAATCTTGGTGTTATTGCTTGTGTGAATATTTGACAACAAACTGAACAAGCTCTGGCAAGAAGTGGAGAGCTTTTATATCGTTTCTAGTATGCTCTTTAGGCCCCAAGAAGTCACATTTTTCAGTCATTAAATAATATTTGGTTCCGATGACGTACATGCTTTTGAAGATTTTTCTTGTCAAAAAACCGTAGATTATATTTTGACTGCAATAGGGGCCACAGGACATGAGCAACAGAATTTGCTATTCCAACCATCTAATTTACCATCTTGATGGAAAACTTGCATGGTGATTCCTGCTTGCCTTATTTTTTTCTCTTGTTGGCAGGCGTTATTAAAATTGGTAGCCGACTATTCAGTAGTTGCTTTAAACCCAAGCAAAAAAAATGCTATTAATGAGTCACCTTTAAAGATAGCTCTTTTTTCACTGGGAAAGATGTGTGCATATCCACATTGCCGACAGTTCCTCCGTTCATCAGAGTTGTTCCCAGTGATTGGACGGCTTCGGCAATCCCCAGAATCAAGCATTTCAAAGCTAGCCTTAGCTATTGTAAGCAAAGTTACTGATGCATGACGCCTGAAGGTAAAATAGTTAATGGTCATTTCTTTTGACCTTACCAACTTGATTTCCACTAAATCATTGATGGTAGTTCTTGGTTGGTAATACTGAGTCTCAAAAGAACAAAGAAAATAGCAAATGAATCTGAATCTTGTGATGCAAGAAATATTGTGCTATAGGTGCTATAAAGCATCGGTATATATATGTTCAATCTGCTGAGAATATGGTTATTTTTTTTTCTAAAAAAAACATGATTGTTACATCTAACATTAACGTTGGTTTTCTGCACTTCTGCCATTGTTTTGATGTATTCAGCGGTCAAATAGTTTGAGCTCATGGTAGGTTTGGGGTTAGACAATGGCTTATGTTTCCCTGAACATATTGTTGGGGTTTGCAAGTTTCCCAGTCCGAACCAATAATGTTAGATTAGCCAGAAAGCAATCCAATCTGGCATGTCAAATTGCCAAATGACTTGATTTGGACAGGGATTTAGAGGGGACAAAAAATAAGCGGCAACAACTGGTGGATCAGAATCAAACATATTTTTCAATCGACTATATTTTGTATCAATGATTGATATTTGCGCTATATTTTTGCATGTCATAAGATCCTGAGTTTCGATTCAAAGATTTAATCAAGGGTGATATGGCAATCAATTTGCTCACTTAACAGGATAATAGCTAACATCGTGGCTGATATTTTGGATTTAGCTGAAGACTTTAGCAAATATCAATTCTCTCATATCAGTAGACTGTCAAGTGAGTGAACAAAGGCTTTGGTGGAAATCTATTCCTCATTCTTTACGTAATCCTGATATTGGTTAATTAATGTGGATTTAGAAATTCTTTTCAGACGTTTGAACCTTCTCAAATTGTTTTTTTTTAAAGAATCAAAAAAATTTGTAGAAAACAATAGAGCCTAAGCAGAATAAAAGGCTTTGGATACGTAGTGGATTTGAAGTATTATTTTTGCATCCTTGGCTAAATCCACTTATATTAGGATTACTACTTAATGATTAAAGTTTGATTGTTTCATCCACGAATAAAGTTTGCTTTATATATATATATATATATATAAAACTACAATGTATTTCTTGTGCTTTTGAAAAATTGAGTGCATTATTAGCAGATTCAGCACTAGCCATGGATTATAATATCGGCTAATCATGTGTTTCAATTCATTACAAGTGCTAGGGAAATATATATATGCCAATGTCAATAACATACTAAGTATGAGATTCGTCTATCACAAATTCATGATTATCGTGTGAAATTATGTTCACTAGTTAGGTCTGATAATTTGACTGAAAATACAAATATTTTTAAATTAAAATTAAACTAAATGAATAAATAATAATTTGAAGTGGTTGGATTAAATGGACTTTTGTTATTTATTTATTTTTTATAAAAATTTAAGAATTTTTGGATTTTTTTTATAAAAGAGATTATAATCTTTAGATTTTTTTTTTTTTACAAAGGAAATTATAGTTTAAAATGAGTTTGCTTACATGAATTTGTATTTAAATTTCATACTTATTGGATGTCATTTTTAATTTATAAATATTTGTATTTGAATCACAAATCATATTAAAATGACAAACATATTAAATATATATATTTTAAATGATTGAATAAATAAATTTGAGGCAAGCTTTAGAATACCCATCCCTCCTTTGTCAAACTCAAGGTAACTGATCGTGTCACAGGTCGAGACTTAAGCTTCGAACTCGCGCGGCTCCGGGATCCGGACATTCACCCTTCCGGCGTCCCAGATCAGCTTTCCTACCACGGTTCACACCCTTGTGAGGTATTGTCCGCTCTGACCCACAAAAGGCGTCTCACAAGGCGGAGATGATGTGAATCCCTTTATATCCCAGTGACCCTCCTATTATGTTCGATGTGGGATTTAGGACTCCTATTATGTTCGATGTGGGATTCAGGACTCCCCTTAGGTCCGTGACATTCTTCCGTACTCAACCTCGTGACGCCTTCGTCACGGAGGCCGGCCACCTTGCCTACCTCCCTCGAGGTGCTTGGCGTGGATCGAACGGTTTAGGACTGGTTCTGATACCACTTGTCATGGGTCGAGACTCAAGCTCCGAACCCATGCTGCTTCGAGACCAGGGCATTCACTCTTCCTGCGTCTCAGATCAGCCTGACCGTCACGGTTCACACCCTTATGAGGTATTATCCGCTCTGGCCCCCCCTGGCCTTACGGTTTTGTCCTACAAAAGGTGCCTCATAAGGCGGAGATGGTGTGAACCTTTTTATACCCCAGTGACCCTCTTATTATGTTCGATGTGGGATTCATGACTCTCCCTTAGGTCTGTGACATTCTCTTGCACCTAACCTCGTGACGCCCTCGTCACGGAGGTCGACCATCCTGCTTACCTCACTCGAGGCGCTCGGCGTGAATCGAACGGTTTAGGGCTGGCTCTGATACCACTTGTCACGGGTCGAGACTCAAGCTCTGAACCCGCGTGGCTCCGGGACCCGAGCATTCACCCTTTCGGCGTCCTAGATCAGCCTTCCTGCCACGGTTCACATCCTTGTGAGGTATTGTCCGCTTTGACTCCCTGGCCTCACGATTTTATCCTACAAAAGGCGCCTCACAAGGCGAAAATGGTGTGAACCCCTTTATACTCCAGTGACCCTCTTATTATGTTCAATGTAAGATTCAGGATTCCCCTTTATATCCGTGACAATCGCACCTGCCCACTCACAGCGGCAACACCAGCTAATCCAAGGATTCTTAGGGCCAAGAATCGAACGTAAGACGTGCGCCTCATCCACACAACATCCCAAACCATGCCCTTTGCCAACAAATGTACGGTTGTTACTCTTGTTGATGTTTTAAGGTTTGAATTTTCTATATTCCTTTAATTAAATTCTTCATATGTATTTATAAAAAAAAAAAAGAAAAACCTTAACCCTTTTTGAAGTCTTTAATTTTCCATTTTTGCCTTATTTATGAAATCTTGTCATTTCATTTATTACCTAGCAAAATCAAGAAAGAGAAGGAGAAGAAGAAGAAAAAAATCATATTTACCTTGCTGATTTGTTCTAATCAATTAAATATTTTAGGATAAAGTTTGATGGGATTCATTTATCTTAATTAGTGACAATCTAAATTACATCTAGACTTAATATTAAATCACTCCAATTTTCCTAAGCTTTCTTGAATATATATATATTCTCAAAGCTCAAAAAGAACATTCATCTTATAAGACTATCAGCTTGATTTATTTGTTTTGTCTTCACAATGGGTTTTATAATTCAGTTCACAATCAAGGTGTCTATAAGCAATATTTGATGCATAAAAAATTAGCTATAAATATAAGATTAAGTTTTCACTTCATTAATTTTATACAAGTAATTTTTTTTATATTTCATTATTATAGGCCATCAACATCAACCTATTATCAGTTTAAGGATGGCATTTTCAACAAAGTGAACCCAAATCCAATTGATGAAGGAGAGAATCTATTGAAAGAGTTGCTAAACCAAAAAAAAAAAGAGAAAAAAAAACCATAATAAGATAACCACTGATCAAGACAACACATGCACATAATGCTTGCCACTAATCCTTGGTCTTCCATAATGCCTTCCACTGCATCTTTCGGCACCAATAATCAGATTATGACTTCAACCTAAACCATAATTCTATATCCTATTTATCAGTGTGTTCAATATGCATTGACCAATACAAAATCCCTCCTAAACATTTTCAACAAATGTCATCAGATTATTCGACGAATCCAAAAAAATATTTAAGTTGGTAAAATTAAGCACATAAACATAACAACTGTTTTTATTTATTATCCATTGATTTCAAATTGAATGCTCATTTTAACATTTAAAACATAGTTATCAACAGATTGAACACTATAAACTTGTTATATAGATATGAAACTAATTTTTTTTTCTTGCAAATATTAGTAAGTGCTTAGTAGCTGTAATTCATTCAAAGAATATAGTCCGAAATTGATTCTAGCCTCCCCATGGTATTTTGATTAATGGCTATAATGGCTAGAATGCCATGATTGAAAGCAAATGGCAAGCAAGCATGTTAAAAAATAGGAGGATGTATATTGGTAGCCACGCAAAGTACCAATGCCAGTTGTCAATCGAAACGTATATTTTGAGAAAGATGACAAGTCCACTAACAATTTCTAAGAGTGGGGGAATTTGGGTAGGTGAGTTAGTGGGCAGATATATTTGTGTGGCTTTGGATTTTTAGGTCTCCCAAAGTATAATGTGCCGAAATGACTAACACCATGAGATGATCATTCTTGACCCACGTAGTGCTACGTTCCTGTTTTGATCAGTTTGGGGTTTTCTTTTTATTGGATTTAAATATTATTTGAAGTTGCCTTGATTATGTATAGCAATGATGAATTGGTAACTCTCCCATGTCCCATCAACAAGTGAGCGACCAAAGTTTCAGAAACATTTCTTTTGTTGTAGAATTGCCACGACTTTGTCATTTGGTTTTTGATATTTAAACACGTTTTAGTGGTCATTATAGTCGTAATTTATTATTAAATATCTACCTTAAAATGAAATGGCATTATAGAAGGACTAAATTTAAATATAAAATTATAAAAAATTTAAAATTTAATAAATATAAAATAATATTTTTAACAGATCCTTATAATATATATATAGATATAAAAATTTATTTAATAATAAATTTGGAAGGTAAAATAAGCAATAAAATGAAACTTGAGTTTTGATATAATATTAAATATCTAATTTAAAATTAATTGATTATAAATAAAGAGATTTAATTTAAATATAAAATTATAAAAAATTTAAAATTTAAAAAACGTGAGATACATTTTAACATTTATGATTGATCATTATCCTTTACAGTGATTAATACATGATTGATGATGTTGAAAAGGAAGAATTACAGTTAGATTATTACATATGGCACATCTACGACAAGTGTAAACTATAAAATTAATGAACAAAATATTGTTACGAGTAAAATGTGCCTTATTGGTATTTACAATAAAAATGAAGATCGTGTTTTTGAAAAAAAAATCCATTGATCTATTCTCTTACCATCTTGCCTAACAAGAGAAATATTAAAAGAAAAGTGATAATTGGATTACGCGGTTTAATCTAAATGATTTATTCACTTAATATTTTAAAATATTAAAATTTAATCACTATCATTTATATATATTTAAAAGTTAATAGTTGAATTAGTATAATTACATTCTTTTGTGATTATCTTTAAATTGAAATTGCATGTAGACTCAAATAATACAAAACTTATCTATTAATTTGAGGTAAGTGATAGCATAATCATAAAGATAAATTCATATTAATTTTATTAATATAATTAATCATTTGATTGTTATCATAATTACAGATTTGTGGTGTATGAGAAGTCAATGTGTCACGGGTCGAGACTTAAGCTTCGATTCGCGCATCCACTCATTCGGTATCAGTTTAACTGTTACGGTTTACACCCTTATGAGGTATTGTCCGCTCTGACCTCCTTGGTCTCATTGTTTTGTCCAATAAAAAGGCGTCTCACAAGGGGAAAGGTGGTGTGAACCCTTTTATATCTCGGTGACTCTCTTTTTATATCCGATGTGAGATGGTGGTGTGAACTTTTTATACTCAGTGACCCTCCTTAGATCCCAATCTCGTGACGCCCTCGTCACGGAGGCTAGCCACCATGTCTATCTCCTTTGAGGCACTTGACGTGGATCGAACAGTTTAGGGTTAGCTCTGATACCATTTATTATGAGTCGAGATTTAAGCTCCGACCCTCGCGACTCCAAAACTTGGGCATTCACTCATCCGACATCCCAGATCAGTCTAGCTGCCGCGATTCACATCTTTGTGAGGTATTTTCACTTTGACTCCTTAACCTCATGGTTTTATCCTACAAAAAGTAGCTCACAAAAAAAATGTGATGTGAACCTTTTATATCGCAGTGACCCTCTTTTTATATCCGATGTAAGATTCATGACTCCTCCTTAAATCTATGATAAATGCACTCAGCTCAAGTCAGCAATCAAATATCAACGGAAAACAGAGAATCACAAAAAATATGCAATATGAATGCATCCCAAATAGTCTAAAAGTATATATTTTATAGGACATAAGTCAAAAGTGGAATATAACAAAAACTTTATACTGAAATTACATGCAGATAGAAGAAGACAGCAATCCTCCACCACTACCATCACCACCCCCACCATCAACACCACTAACAATCCCAAGAGCAAGAGACGCGTTCCCCCAATTTTGGTGACAGAAGCTACTAGAATTTCAGCTAACTTTGGGGGATGTAAAATAATTATTTAATTTTTTGTTTTCCTTTGCTGCTGCAATGCTTATAAATAGAGACTTTGGTCTTCACCTTTTCTTCAATCAAAACAAGGCTCGTTTTGATTGTATTGCGAGTGGTATATACATCAGATTTTGAAGCTGCATTGAGCTTGTTTTCGAGGTTGAAAATGGGCAGTTCTAGGGTTATTGGTGCTGCATTCTTGGTTTTGCTCCTTGTGGAGTTAGCCTTTGCTGCTAGGTCATTGACGACCGTAGGAAAAGGAGGTGGTGGTGCTGGAGGAGGAGGAAGTGGTGGAGGTGGAGGTGGAGGTGGAGGTGGTGCCAATGGTTTAGGGTCTGGTTCTGGATATGGTTCAGGGTATGGTTCTGGAAGTGGCTCCGGATATGGTTCAGGAGCTTATGGTAGCGGAGGAGGTGGAGGTGGTGGTGGCGGGGGCGGTGGTGGTGGTGAAGGTGGCTCAGGATCAGGCAACGGGTCGGGATCCGGGTCAGGGTATGGGTCTGGCAGTGGGATAGGTGGCGGTGGAGGTGGTGGTGGTGGTAGAGGAGGTGGTGGTGGTGGAGGTGGAGGCAATGGAAGTGGAGGTGGGTCAGGCTACGGATCCGGATCCGGGTATGGAAGTGGGTCTGGTTATGGAAGTGGGTCTGGTAAAGGTGGAGGTGGTGGAGGAGGTGGAGGTAGTGGAGGGGGCGGAGGTGGAGGAGGTGGTTCTGGACACGGTTCAGGCTATGGAAGTGGCTCAGGCTATGGTTCAGGATATGGCAGTGGTGGAGACGATCATTTCTCACCATAGATTAAGGATGAATTCAACTTAGGTAGCCATATATTAAAATCTTTGTCATTTGGAAAATAAAAAAGCAATGTCTACCATCACTGCATGCATTTGCATGGGGTGGAGTACGTTGCATATATAAATAAATATATAATATTATAAATGTTTTTAAGTCTGTTGTAAGGGTAAATATGACACCAATATATTCTGTGTCATATGGTATGGTTATCGTATTATCAGTATCAATATAATAATAAATAGTAATTTAATTTAATTTCTGTTTACTTTTTTCTTTTTGATAATTCAAAATCATATAAAATTCATCAAAATTTTATATAAATCTACATTTATAAGTTTCATATATAATTTTTTAATATAATTGAATAATTACAGAATTATAATAAAAAGAATTATAAATAAATAAACCCATTTTTTTTAGTTTTAAAATTTGTATTATTCACGCATTTTAATTGTCATTATTTTTATCATATTTGGAATTGTTTACCATAACTTTATAATATCAAGTTGAGTGCTTGACATCACTTTGAAATTGTTCCTACGATATGCATAAGATGCTAGCACGTAATTGGTTCTACTCCCATATTATTTATTTATGAATATGCCTACAATTTATAATTTTGGTTTTTCAACAAATCGAAGCCGTAAATAGCTTGCCGCCTGCAGGAGGCCAACTTTGGCCCTTATTACGGCTGGTGCGACGATGGGAGCCGCCTACCCTAACGACGCCGTTCACCATGCTGGTCGCCTCATTCTTTCTCACTGTTAGTTCTCTCCTTCACCCCTTCTTGTCGACCTCTAGACGTAGTGACAGATTCAAAATTTTTTTTATAAGGTGTACATTTATAATAGGAGTGATAATAATTTAATTTGGATAATATTAGATTCGGTTTGATTTTTTTAAATAATATATAATATTATAAAATTTTAAAATTCGATTTGAAATTGAATTAATTTTTTTAATCGATTTAATTTAAATTAAATTCTATCAATTCATAAGTTTTTAAAATTTAACTTTTTATATATTATTTTAATATAATTTTTTATATTTAAATAAATTTATATAGAAAATAATTATTTTTAATTTTAAAAAATTTAAATATATATAAAAAATTAGTAAAATTATATAATTTAGACTAATTCATTTCTTTTTCAAATTTTTATTTTTCGATATAAATTTAATATATATATATTTAATATTCAAATCGAATAAAAAAATCGATTTAAATTGAGTTAAATACTATAATTTTGAATTAATTTTTTATTTTTTGAATTTTTTGGTCACCTTTAACTTATAATATATTTTTAAAAAATGCTGATAAATTTACTAATTTAATCTATAAAAAGAGTGTGCAAAAGAAAATTTTGGAAGTTAACGGTAAAAAAACCTTTTCTTCAAATTTTGTTTGTTTTCGGATCTTTGGGGGGTTTCTTTTGATCCGCCCGTCTATGTGCAAGCTCCCCTTATCGCCCAAAGATCTGTCCTCTGCCTCATTCCACTCCTAGCCTTTTGTTTCTTTCTTGAAACTCTGATTTTTTCAGTCGTCCCTAATTTCTTCATCCACGCCATTAAAAATTGCGTGAATTCCATTTTTCATTTTATGCTAGATTTTAATTGTACTGCTACTTTTAATAGTTTAAACTTGAATCATAATTTCCAACCTCACCCGACTTCTGTCTTCTCTACGGGTATAAACGAGTCCAGCCACACCCATACTCTATAATTACTTGACCTTTTGAATAGATCATTATCACGCCAAACTCGAAATCAAACTTTTCAAGTAACGAGTCGAGCAAATTCAATTTTTTTACACTTTAACTCAGAAAGATTTGTAAGCCTTTAGTTCTTAATATATTTTAATATGTTTAATATGTACACATAAGTAAGTGACAAAAATTTAATGTTTAATGTTTTACCTTTACAATTTTATTGAGCTTAATCGAGCCATACTTGAGTGGCTCAAGCAACTTAGAAACTTAGGAGTCGACCTTGAATATAAAAAATAAGCTCAATCAAGCTTGAGCTGCACTTTGAGCCTTATTTTTTTGAATGGAACTGCGCTTGAGCCACGCAATGTTTCAACTCAACTACACCCCTAATGCTTTACAAGTTTTATAAAAGAGCAAAGAAAGGCAATCATCAATGAACGAGCATATAATTTGATGCAACTCAAAGTTGCATAAATTTAAGGTAAAAAAAAAGAAAAGGTATCCTCCCAAAATTATAATTCAGATGTTCAATAGTGAAGCACCCTACAAGATAATATACCAGAAGTAAACAACAGCAAGCTGTTACAATTATAAAATCAAAAGAAAATGATACTAATTCAAATTCTCATTCAAGCAATGATATAGCCAATTCCAACATCTTTTTCCCCTTTTTAAATAAAAAAATTCAGATCGCATGTTCCGAAGAATACCTAATAAGAGCTCTGCTTGATAAAAATTTCCCGTTCTTGCTGCTACCGTCGTACTCCAAGCTTTGTCAACTCATGGCGTCCCAATGAATGTGGATATGTTTCTAGTCAAACTATATGAGGTAGTTGTAAGCTGTTTCAGCAATAGACTCCGACAAGAATGGTTCTGATAACTGGAAAACTAATCCACCACCCTCTCAGTGGCGTATGCTACCTTCTGCATTATCATGGACTCAGCTTGACGGATTGCCCTCTGTGATCCTGTGATTGTGACTTTCCTGCCACATAAGGTAAACGATAGAAAAGGGTTTTAAGAAAAAAAAAAAAAAAAAAACTCAGAACTCAATGCTTAAATAACAGATTGATAACTGGGATTTTTATACCTATCTGTGGTTCCAGACATGAAATCACCTCTATCCGATATTTTTATCCTGGCCCCGCTTACCTGCAGTGACAAAGTGCTCAAATTCAGAACATAAGCAACATTATGGAACCAAATGATACCTATTTATCATTTATAAACCTGACTAATTTCCATGATATTCCTTCCACCACGACCAAGAACCAGCCCGATATGCTCATCTGAAACACCAATCGTGACAGAGTTGCTACGATCCTCCTGGATAGACATAAGAAAGCCTTCTGTCAAGCAAGACCTATTTAACTACAGTCTACACATATAGCATTGAGTCCTTTAATTCAGAACATCAGTCATCACTTGTTAAATGCATAATAAAGGTTTAGGGAGATATTAAAAATGGGTGGGACACTGGAAATACTGCAACACAACAATTATAGAAGAAGTATAACACAAATTAGCAGAAAAAAGTTAATGAAGAACTATTATACGTGTCTGCAAAAATCAAACGAATTGAGCATATGACTGTCCTCTATATAGATGCCAAAGTTAAACAACAAACTAATATATTTTGCTTAGCAGTAAACAAATTAAATAGCATCAGTAACCAGGCATTACAGATAAAGCAAAATAGAAAGAGATGGAACCTTGTGATTCTGAAACGTTCCCCCAGTTCCATTTGGTGCATAGCCCATTGAATTGTAAGTTGCTGTTGCAACAAAAGGAAGCACATATGCATATGGAATGCCATGAAAACCAGAGACGAAAATACCAAAAATTTCTAGTTAAAGAAATCTTACTAGTAATATATACTAACAACTCCACAAAGGACATAATACCAAGATAAACAATAATCACACATTAAGGACAATTCACATCATAAATTCACAATGAAAAATGACCATTAAGAATCAGACTACTTGACAACAACTGAAAATCATTACAGCATTATAAAAAAAAAAAAGCCTTCTAAGGAAGTTAACCACTGGAATTAAAACAACCATGAGAAACTTCCATGATATCTCGTGTACAAACTTGGAAGAGGCATCATGCTTTTTAGGCCACATCTTCTTTTTTAAACTATGCTTACTTCCAAATATTTGACCACAATCAGAAGAAATCTGCATCATTCTGCAGCTAGGATAAATTACATAGGTGTAGCATCTTTCAATTTGTTGTGTTCGGTTATGCCACTTTGCTTTAAGGTTTGTGAGATCACACTAAATTGCTCAGGTCCAGTGAAAAATAATAGGAGAACAGTTCTTTATGCATTGAGCCTATACCTTTCAATCAAAAAAAAAAAAACCTTTGCCAGAGAATACATGTGAAGGCAAAAGTGTGTGAAAACATCACGAAAAGAGATGAAAACTTCTGTCAGGCTTGGGCTTAGTGATAGATGGAATAGTGCAAAATAATTATTATGGATTAAAGAAAATATGTTTTCTCCCAAAAAAAAAAAGTTACAAGCACATCGTGCAGACAGCTAAGTTTTAATGTTTAACTTAATAGCACAGCCAAAAAAGCTTTAATGAGATAGAAGACTTCTGTCCGGCTTGGTCTTAGTGATAGATGGAATAGCATAAAAATAATTGTTATGGCTGAAAGATTTGTGATTTTTTCTCCCCAAAACAAAAAAGTTAGAAACGTATCATGCTGACAGCTAAGCTTTAATGTTTAACGTTTATCAAATGTAAATTAAACAACAGTTTGCGTATCAAGATTATGATATAACTGTTAAGGATTCGGTGAGACAAGAGATGATATAAAAAGCAATAGTTCATAAAGCATAGGCAAGTGTTGCAAATGTAGGAGTCTCTTTGGATTCAGTTGCCGAATAAAAGGAGAACACACCTGCATATGAAAATGGGGCATACATAGCTTGTGAGTAATGAGGGTCTTCACAAAGCTTGGACAAAATCAAATCAATTGCTCGCATTTGCTCATCTAGAGTGCCGGTCAGGGTCACAAGCCTATCATTCAAGCCATAAAAATTATTATCCTGTGGAGATATCTTAATGCCAGCTTGGGAGTCTTCAATAAATGACCTACAAAAAGCCATAAACAACAATTAATACTTGCCTTATCTGTTTAAGGCAGCCAATTCCCAAATAAGGGACCAATACTAGTTCGATGGTAACTGACCACACACCACACACATAGAATGGGACTGTTTTAAACAATCATTTTAGGCACCTATTTTGTTTCTCATTTCCTCTAATGCATTAACAAAAAACATTCATGTTCACAATGATTGTGTCTTTACAAGGCAGTGGGGATATTAAGGATGTATAAGATTTAAATAATCAATTAAAACTTCTTGCAGGGCTCAAGCGACAAGTAGCACCTATAATGCACTAAGGGAGACAGTCAGACTTCCTGGATCAGAATGACTTCTCAGTCAAATCATGCTAAATTATGTGTAACTAGTAGAGCAATGTAGAAAAGCACGTGCTTGTTAACACTACTATATTTTGTCATGAAAGTTACTTTTATGAGGCTGGTCCATCTTGAAGAACATGTTCTCAGTCCATTCAATGCCTGTGCACCTAATCAAGTTTTAGGAGACAGTAACAACATTCGATTGGTTCTCTTTCATAATTCTAAGCTAATATCCAAGCTTAAGTGAAGACCATGGTACTTCAATTGAAAAAGGAACCCAAATAATATAGAAGAATATCCTGCAGTTCAAACATCAATGCCAGCTAGACCTTCATGTCAGAAAGCATTCTTCTCAAATCAAGATGTTTAGATGTTATAATGTAAGTAAAAGGAAATGACCAAAAAAGCAAATCCAAACAAATAACCTCATGTTTTTAATCTTTACTAACCATTTTATAAAACAAAGTTACTTGCAACTTTAATCCAAGTCAATTCCACATAAGACTTAACCATAATCTAGAGTGAACCTTTGTCAGACAGGTATTATACAAAAGAAATCCTCTGACAACTTACCACATTTTGCCAAATAGATCTGAACTAATTCATTTCCCAAAGCCATCTCTACTTAGAGCATAAGCGGTTAGCAATAGAGGATTCAAGAAGTAACTCACTATGATGCATCAAAATTATTGCTATGGTAATCTTTACTAAATTTATTCCTATCACTAAGAGATTCTCCTTCCAACACCTGTTCCCCGTGTTAGCTCTCAATTTCATCATACATGGCTCTTAGTATGAGAAGTTTCCAAATCATCCCCAACTTGGTCAAATAAAACTTTCATTGCAGACATTCTTACACATGAACCAATTCCAAAATGAGTAGTTCGTTCACTTCTCATGCCTATCTGAATATACTATAAATCAACTGTAGGTTAAGCATTTTAGTCAAAGTTTATCCCCTGCAAATGAACAGCATAATGGAAGAATAAATACACACTCTTTATAGATAAGCCTGCTGACCATGCTTCAATTATGTCAACACTACTAACAGCTATAAAATTCAAGTTAATTTTTTTTTTATTTCAAGCCTGCAATATCGTTGGCAAGTTTTCAGAATCATAGCAACAAAAACATACGGTAATCAGAGTATCCAAGTAGACTTCTTACTTTATGGTAGCCCCTCCTTTCCCAATTATGCTGCCACAAGAGCTATTGGGAACAATTAGCCTCACTTTTGTTCTTGGTTCAACATCATCATTATCTTCAATGTTAAGCTGACCAAGAAAAACAAACTTAAATTATGATCAGAAAGACAGAATTTATAGAGTTAAAAGTCATCAAAAAGATCACCTCATTCAATAATTTTGCATGCATAAGCTCCATAGCTTTGAGTACTTCATCAATTGTTCCAGAGACCATAATAATCCTGTCTGATGTTCCTGGGAAAAATTCATGATTGCGTGACAACTGAATTCGAGCTCCTGATTTTGACTGAAATTCAGTAATTGTTGAACCACCCTTTCCAATTACAGAACCAGCTGCAGCATTGGAGACAAGAAACCTAATATATGTAGGCTTCTCCGCATTTTCTTACAGAAGAAGCATGAGCAAAAAATTTCATCACTCAGTTCTAAAATCATAAATGCATTTGTAGTCAATCAGAAAATTTTTAAGCAAACATGAAAATTTCAACTATTAGGGCTATCTCCTTCCTTTTAGCCCAGAAAACATATAAATGGGAAGAATCTACAATAAGAATAACATAGATGCTAAACATGAGTATCTATATATCACATCACACAATATGTAAATGCTGATACACAAAAGCTTGTAGTAGATGCATTAAATAAAAACAGCATAAATATGTCAGTTTCAGTGCAACAAGTATTGCTTATTAGGATATACCACTTTGCATTCCTAATAATAGTTCAAATCATAGTACTGCTGAAATAGTGGTAGTGTTGATCTCACACAAATGGAAGAAGTAGAAAATCCAATCTCAAGGGAAGCTAATAAGAAATATCAGAATTGCATTTTTCAAATTTATTGCAAATTTTATTAACGCTTAGCTACATATATGATTACTCAATACCAAGCAACTCAGATCACTAATAATCCACCCTATTGGCATCACCAAAACAACTTAGTTCCCTCTCATCTCATCACTTAACATTTAAAAACCAAGGGAGAACCACTACAGTAGATGGTAATTGTTAAAGGACAGGTTATAAAACTAGAGAATTTGGCTCAGAAAAAAACCAAAGGAATATTGAAGATAGAGCTCAAGCTTAGATGACAGCGTATACTGTTGATGTTTTACATTTTTATATTTAATAAATTTCATGGACTATTTTACTAAGTATAGCATCTATGAAGTTAAAATCAATGAATTTAATGATTTCTTCAAAGATACAAAAAACCAACCAAACATTTAATATAAGTCTTTCCATCATTAACTCCAATTATTAATCCTCCAAAAACTGGTACATATAGAGATTTGCACACAAAGATAACAAACAAATGCATAAAACAACTATTGCCTAAGAAGCACGGACATGGGCATGGGCACGTAATACGGGTTCGACATGTCACGGACACAGAGACAATACAATTTCTAAGAAATGAGGACACAGGTATGGCAGGACCCGGCAATAAAAATATTTAATGTAAATTTAAATATTAATACTTTAAATTACTATATAATCAAATTTTTATTATATTTCTTGTCACTAATTTACTCATAATCATATTATAAGATTCTAACATGTGGGCTTAAGCAGATAACAATCATTTTTCATATTACAAGCAGGCCGTGCAATAAATCTTAGACTAAATGGATTGGGCTCAGATTGAGTAGGAAATGGCCCATTAAATCTCAATCATTTGTATCAGGATGGGGGGGGGGGGGCAAGAATTTACCTATTTAGCCCATTAAAAAGTCTGCAATGAGAACAAAGAAGCACAGAGAAAACACAAAAGGTGAAAAGGTGAATCTGAGAAAGAAAAAGCTTGGGACTCATGCACCCAATAATATTAAAGCACACAGATTAATGAACATGGCATGAAAGTTCCTTCTTGCTTTCTTCATTTTCCTCCATCACCTTCTATCTCTTCAATTTCTCTCTCTTTAAAAATTCCTCTCATCTCGCTAACCACAGTTTGGCCACCTCTCCTATCCAGTTTCCATTGCAGCCAACTACTGATGTTAAATTCTTCCAAAATCTTCAGAAAAGTATTCTCATCCTCCTGTTTCTTCCCACCTAACTAGATTTCCCAAAAAACAATTAAAAAAGCCTAGATCTACAAAATGATCCACAGCCTCCATTCTTTTTTCACTGTTTCCCCCTGCTGTGTCCAAGCGTGACTTGATCATGTCCAATTTGTTTTCTATTTTTTGGCTGTGTCTCAGCATGTCTCATACGTATTTTGGCATGTCCGTGTCAGACACTGGTATGACACTAGCACTCAAGGACAGATGCTGGGTCTGTGCTTCCTAGGCTAATGCATGTCATCCATACAAGAAGGAAGGGAGGGGGAAGTTCAAAAGAATGTGTAACAAGCACCGGGGTTAGCAAACTCAAAAATACTAGATGACCACACCCCTAATCCAATATCAGGCACAACTACAGTCTTAAATCTCAGCTTCATCTGTGAAAATAAAGAAAATATCACTCCAGTAAATTTCTTTTCTTCCCCTTACTAAGCATCCGTTTCAATAGTCTCAGAAAATAAAGCCAAAGAAAAGAATTCTCTAAAATATACTACAACAACAGTCTAAGATTTCTCATTTTCAGAATTCAATTACATTATGCCCTCCAAGAGCATACATCATTAAGCCTTCTAGACAAGATAACTGATTTTTAATACCATGTTGTTGTCACTAAACCATTCAAAAGATAAGTCTTAATTTGATTTTGCAGTAATTTTTTAATTGTAATTTAAAAGAAAAATTAACACAAATAAACATGACAGAGAAGACCCTTACTTGCAGCACAGCCCTCACACCATTGTTCACCTCAGCATCTATCCCACATTTGGCAGTTATTATACAAATAAAAGCAGATAAAAAGATAATACTAGGCGAAACTCCAGGATTTCTCATCCCTCTACTCCCTGACATTTCGTGGCAATCAAGCATAAGCTAAAGACTCAGAATACATTCTTCTTTTTCTCACTCTCCATTTTTCATTTCTCGCGCAACCAAAGACAATGCTAGGGTTAGGGTTTCAAATTCTATATTAAAATATATGAATAAACGAAATAAACAACACGAAATTCAAACAATTTCACACATTAATCTTTACATTAGGGAAAAAAAAGAAAAAGAAAAACAGAAAAAATTTAACGCCATTAACTCAAAAGCAGAAAAAAAACTCAAAAATGAAAAGCTTCAATGAAGAAGAAAGATCAGATCAGAAATTACCAGAACTCGGCGATTTAGGCGGCGGCGGAGATCCCTTCCTCGCCGCCTCTGGTGATGACAAGTAAGACAACTCCGTAGACTCCATTTCTCTCTTCTTCCCTCCTCTTCTAAACCCAAAAAAAAAAAGAAGAAAAACAACACTCCGTAAATAAATAAATAGACAAAAAATGCAGAGCTCAAGCAAATTAATCAAATTTTGCTCTAATTAATAGAATGTTAAACAAAGAATTATAAAAATAAAAAGAGAGAGATTAATACTTTTTTTTAATTTCCTTCTTTTCCTTTCAGTTTGCAGCTTTTTTCTTCTTCTGTCTGAGCTGAAGGTTTTTTATTTTATTTTATTTTTTTCGTTATCGACCCATCGCTCGCTGGCGTCGGCTAGTTCGAGTTTTTATTTTATTTTATTTAAAGCGTGAAAACCGCCTATTTTGTAAAAATTAATAATAATTAGGGAGAAGGGCGGCCCACGAGGTTGCGACCACCCTAGCAGCTTCGGCTAACCTGTCATTATCGTGCCCCACTTCGCGGCCAACCTGGGTTTGGGCCCCATGTGAATTATCAAACCGTTGAACTTTGCTTTTTAATAATTAATTAATCACATTTTGAAATTTTGTTTTGGATAAACTATAAAAATGAATTATTTATTTTTTAAAATAAGTTTTATATTTTATTATATTAAATAATTTTTTATCTTTTGATTGGTATTCAAATAAATTTAATTAAAATAAAAGAATTTTAAATTTTATCACTTTATTATTTATTGCATTAAAATAAGACATGAACATTTAATTTACAACCAAATAAATCTTTAACTTTTAGTTTATATCTAAATAAATCAATTTTTTGTTTAAAATAAAAATTTATTTGGATACAAATCAAGTAACAAAGACTTATTTAGGTATTATAAAAATATAAAGAATTATTTAAAAATAAAATAGTTCAAAAGCTTTTTAAATATTTTAATCAATAAACTCTTAATTTAAATGAAATATTGATTTATGTTAATGATTTATTTAGGTACAAATTAACAGTTAATGACTTTTGGATATAAATTAAAAATTAAAGACTCATTTAAATGCAATTTAGAAGTGAAAGATTTATTTGAATGTAATAAAAATAATAGGTTTATCTAAGTAAAGTGATAAACGGGGATAAGCAGAAATCAGTTTAAATCAATTTAATTGACTAAAATTGATGAAATATGGTCAATTCGCTTTGGTCTAGTCAGTTTTGGTTATAGTCGATTTTTTGAATCGATTAAATTAGTTAAATAAGTCGATTTTTAGTTTTTAAAACTGGTAATAGAATCGATCGAATAATCGACTTTTTAATAAATAAGTGTAAATATGTATATTCCCTCCTAAAAAAGCCCTAAACTTGACTCACTAACTTCTCTCACACTCTTTCTTTTCTCCACTTGATTGCCTCTCAGTCTCAAACTTAGAATTTGCTTTTCTGCCTCTCACTGTCTTTCTACCTTTCTTCTTTTCACCTCTTTGCCTTTTTCGTTCTTCTACTTTTCTATCTCTAATTTGTTGCTAATAAAAACTCCTCAAAACAGCATAAGATCGAAGATTGTAGAGATCGATGAGCCGTAAAATGAGATTTTTCTTTGAAGAGATCAATAACACCTGCAACTACTGTAAGTCCCTGATGACCTTCATCTTTTCCTTTATCATTGAATTATGAACACAATGATTTCACCAAGAACTACTCTTATGAGCCCCTAAAAAGTTTGAACCTTTAGTAGATATTCTTGGATTTTTTGAAAGCTTGAACTTTTGGTGGGTATTCTTAGATTAATCCATTTAGAGTAGTTTAAAATTACTTCGATGGGAATTCTATATAAGATTTCCTTTGTTTATTATGCTTGTAAAGAATATATATATTGCTATTGGTTTATTTCGGCTTAGGGGCTTAACTTGAATCTTAAGCAATTGGTCATTTGTTTACTGTTTAGACTGAACTCATTGCTTAACCCATTATAGATTTGATCCACCTTTGTTATTGGTCTTGTAGCATATCATACACTTTAGTAGGTTGATTTATTTTTTTGGTATTTTATTATCCATTTAGTATCTATTATTCAACTTTTTTGTTTTAGAAAAAATGGTATTGCTTTTTCCTAAAGACAAAATATGAAGAATTTGGTTATTTAATAAAATTGATTGAACTGAACCAATTTTAATAGGCTCGATTATGGTCGGTTATTTAAAATTTTTTAGTCGATTTAATTATTTACAGAATGAAAATCGATTAATTCGGTTGTTGATTTTTTTTAAATAAAATTGATCAAACCAACCAATTGTTCACCCATAGTGATAAAATTTAGGGATTCTTTTTATTATTTTAGCCTTTTGTTATTAATTTTTTTAGTGTATATTTAATGATGATTTGGAATAATAAATAAAAAAGAGAAATTGGTAAGAAAGTGATATCTAGTATGAATTAAATAGAATTTTTTTATGTTAATGTCATGTCTCTATAGTTGAATTTGTTATACATTTGATTTACTACATTGTACTTTTAAAAAATAGATCTAGTTGTGTACTTTTTTTAGGGTTTTTCTTTTTTAATTAATTGTGTCCCTAATCCTCAAATTACTACTTTAAAATTGGAATAGGATACAAATTTGAAGATTTATAAAATAGATATAGTAGTGTACTATTTTTTTAGGGTTTTTCCTTTATTAATTGTTTCCTTAATCCTAAAATAACTACTTTATAATTGGAATAGGATAACACTTTGAAAATATATAATAGTTTCGATAATTCAAATAAGAGACATAAATTTTATTACCTTAAAATTGCACTATTCATGCACTATCAATACACTATTTTTATCAGTAGGTTTATGAAATAATAGCACTTGATTTTTTTTATAAAATTTTTATTAATGTTTTTATTTTTTATTTTAAATTACATAAATTATTTATTCATTATGCATTCATGAATCTATAATATTTATGAATTTAATTAATTGTGAATGCATTATTGCGTATTTTGTATCATTTAAAAATTGAGCTTAGATTTATATATATTATATTTCAATATTTATAAACAAAATCAATTATGAATTTATGATATTAATGAACCTAATTAATTATGGTTGAACATACTTTGATTATTTATGTACTTTTTTTTTGAAAAAATCAATTATTTATAAACTTAATTATTCATGAATTTATAATATTCATAAATTAAATTAATTATGAATAAATATACTTCATCATTTAAACTTTGAATCCAAATTTATATTTACTATTAATTAATTATAAATCAAATTCAAATTAAATGAATATAGCTATTTATAAATTTAATAATTATGAATTTATGATATTGATGAATCTAATTAATTATAAATAAATATATTTAGTATTTATATAATTTAAGTTTAATAAATTTATTAAATAATATAAAATTATATAAATTAAATTATCACATTGGATCCGCAGCAACGCATCAAGTGCAATCTAATTATTTACTAAAAAAGGATACAGTCATTACGTGGATGGACAAAATTGATATTTTGCAAAAAAAAAAAAAAAGTTAAATTTTGAAAAAAAAATTAAGTAAAAAGACAGCGGATAGTTTTTTTAAGTAGTAGTTATTTTCAAAGTGAAAAAGAATAGTTCTATTTGATTTTTTTTACTCTTAATTAAGTTTGTGTCACTCACTCCCTTCAGATTCTAAACTTAGTAAAAACTTTTGTAATAATTAGTGTTCGTTTTCCTCTTGCGTGAAGTTTAATTAAATCGTTTTGTCATTTTATTTAATGAAAAATTTTTATTATTTAGATCACAATTAGAAATAATTTTTATTTAAAATATTTTTAGAAAATTAATCATTTATGATTTTTAAGAATATTTTATCAGATTTATTTTTTTAAAAAACTCCAAATTTTATTTCCATAATTTATTTTATTATTTTTATAAAATTTTTATTTTTATTTTATTATTACTTGAAAGTAAATGTGAATTATCATCATTGAAATATCCAAAAATTTTCATTAGTTGAGTCAAATTTTTTAAAAAAACTTTTCATATAAAAATTTCTTAAAAAATCAATTATTTATGATTTTATGAATTTTATCTTTGAAATAACTTTTATTTAGTTTCAAAATTTTATCATCTTTGAAATAATTTTTATTTTTTTCAAAATTTTATTACATTTATTTTTGGCTAAAAACTAATATCAAATATCATTATTGAATTCTTTTCTAAACTTTTCCATAATTTGAGTAAAATTTAAAAAAGAAACTCATATAGAATTTTCTTAAAAAATACCCATGTGTGATTATTAAAAATTTTATCGTTGAAATATTTTTATTTATTTTCAAAATTTATTACTTTTTTTTCAAATTTAAAAATTACTATTTTTGACTAATCAAAATCTATCTTAATTTAAAATTTAGATAAATAACAAATTAAAATAAATTAAAAATTCAAAAATAATTAAATAAAAACAAAAAATAAAGTAAAATAATTGAAAACAAAAATAAATAAAGTTATAATAATAATTTAATAATATAAGATAGGTGTCATGTAGAGAACCCTTAGGGGATTCTTTTAATCCAATGTAGTATAGTCTAGTAAAGGGACCACTATGGGAGTTTAGAGGTAATATTGAAATGTTGAATTTAGATTTTTTAGTTTGATAGGCTAAAATATTAAACAAGTCAACTTTATCACTTTACTTAAATAAGTTTTTATTTTTATTGTACTAAAATAAGCCTTTATTTTATTTTTATTTTTATCTAAATAAGCTCTTATTTCAAATAAAAGATTGATTTATGTTAAGAGTTTATTTAGGTACAAATTAAATGCTAAAGGCTTATTTGACTATAAATTAAAGTTTAATGACTTATTTGAAAGTTATATAAGTAGATGAATATTTAAATAAAATGACAAAATTCAAAGATTTTTTTTATTATTTTAGCCAACTTAATACTAATACATTTAAACCAAGTATCCATGAATTTACTAAATGTTAGAGATTTTTAAAATAAAGTATGGGAAATAATCTTACATTGGAAAATGAAAAAACAAGACAATCATTTAAATTAAGAGGAGTATAAGTTCAATGTAGTTGGACGTAAGTGGTTAACGGATCATGGGTTTGGATTTTCAAGCTCGATTGGTCTTGTATTAATTAAATAATTAATATGTATATTAATATTTAATTAATCACACTTGGCACTTATAGTGTAGTAAATAAAATATTATTTTATTTAAAGTTTATACAATTTTATTAAATAAAATAATGTTTTATTTAGAATTTATAAGTATCTAATTAATTAAGTCTATCTAAAACTAACAAACAAATAAGAACAGACAATTAAGTTTATACAAAATAGATAGATAAGTTGGTTCAAAATAAATAATTTTAATTGTTCAAAAAATAAACAGTTTTTGTCTATTAAAAATAGATAGTTATGTCTGTAGGAGAAAGAGACACTTAATTGTTTATAAAAAGCTCATTTGGTTTTCTTAA